CCTGATTCAGTACATCTCGCCATCATATCTGACCCCTGACATCGCCGATGAAATGTCCGACACTTTCGCCAACGAGTCGTCGCTCAGCCTGGACCAATTCCTGTCCGAGAAATACTCCGCTCGCGTGAAAACATACATTGAAGAACAAGAGAAGAAAGCACTCCCCGAGTCCTCGGACGAGATCCAGCTCAAGACAGGGTGGACCGTGTCGCGACCGCCTCACAAACAGCGCTACATGTTCCAGCAACACCCCACTGCCACCCAGGATCCAGAAAACCCGATCCAGGAGCTTCTCAACGTCGTTTTTCCGTCGGCCCCCTTCCGCAAATGGTTGGCCCTTATCACCGGTGCCGAGCAGATTACCAGCTATGACCTCCTGGCGCGTCGCTTCCGTCGGGGACAAGACTACACCCTGGCCAGCGGCTACGATGGAGAGGACCCCCGGCTCGAGCTTACTCTGTGCCTGACCCCGACCCCAGGATGGGAGAAGGAAGGCCAGCACGAAGAGGAGGAGGGTTCCGATGACGAGGCTGAGAAGCCAAAGGCCAAGAAGGAGACCAGCGGAGGCTCCGAAGGCCGTGAAGAGCCTGCCATCGGCGGATATGAGATCTACATGGCCGGAGACGATGAGGATGAGGGCGACGCCGCCATCTATCGGTCCGCCGGGGCAGATGAGGATGACGGCATCCTCTTCAGCACGGCCGCTGGGTGGAACCGGCTTAGTATTGTCCTGCGGGACAGTGGCACCCTGAAGTTTGTCAAATATGTCAGTGCCGCGGCCAAGGGTGATCGGTGGGATATCACCGGTGAGATGGGGGTGGAGTTCGGAGAGGATGAGGATGAGGATGAGGACGATGTCGAGGATGACGAGGTGATGGAGGAGGTGGACGAGGACGAGGAATAAAAGCTCGATGCGGCCTTCTTGTACATAGACATATATACTTTCTCATTTTTTTTTATATTTTTTTCTTTTTTTTTCTTTTTGGTTAATATTGGATGATTGATCCTCCATGAAATCGAGTCTTGGCATTCTGGAGAGACGAAACAAAACAAGTCGAAATTCCCCAAAATGCCAAGAGATGGTCTTGATTTCCCCTCTCGTGTGGAGTATATTATATGACTACTATTTAAGGGTTGAAAGACGACCTTCATCTTCAATTATTCTCCTCTATCTCTTCTCTATTCTAGGTAAATTATCCATTCTAATCCACCACAATGTCTACCCCATCCCCAATCGGCGCACCACAACATGTCCTCGACCTTCTCCACAACCTCCATCAAAAGTCTCTAGACCAAGAAGCCACAATCTCAAAAAAGGGCAAGGTTTTCTCCGCAGACGTCATCGGCGACCTGGAAGACCAGCGACCCAAAAGCGACCCCAAAGATGAATTCGACCGACTCATGCTGGACAAGTTCATCGCGCTCGACGAAGATAAATGCCAATTCACCTACCAGCTGATCAATGCCATGGGCGCCACCAACATCGTCGAAGCCGGCACCAGTTTCGGCGTCAGCACCATCTACCTTGCTCTGGCGGTTGCCAAAACCAAAGCTGCCACCGGTAAGCCGGGGACGGTCATTGCGACCGAGAAAGAGAAGGAAAAGGCAGATGTCGCGCAGCAGTATTGGGCGCAATGTGGGCCTACCGTGCAGCAGGAAATCGACCTGCGAGTGGGTGATTTACTCGAGACTTTGAAGGACGGGCTTCCACGGGTTGATCTTCTTTTGCTGGATAGTAAGTTGAGGTCCTGAGAGTGTTGTTTTTTTTTTTTTTTATGGTTTTGTTCTGCGCTGATTGGAAATCAATTCTCGTAGTTTGGTCGGCCCTTGCTCTGCCGACTCTCAAGACTGTGCTGCCCAGTCTTCGGCCAGGCGCCGTGGTGCTTACTGACAATACCATCTCCGGTGCGAAGGGTTATGCAGATCTGTTGGCTTTCTTGAGAGCCCCGGAGAATGGATTTCAGAACATGACCTTGCCGTTTACCAATGGGTTTGAGATGAGTGTTTACAGGCCATGATCAAATGAAAAAGACCTCTGGAGAGTTTCGGAGACGGTGGATTATTTTATCTCATTTCTTCTCATTTCTTTCTCCAGGGGACAAGAATAGGAACGCCAGTGAAGCTGGATGTTGGTTGGGATGGAAGTATACATGTAATTCAGCGGGGACACAATCCATACCTAGCTAGGGCATGGATGATAGATCCTTTGCTCTCTACTCTCTAAAATCATGTCCCACAGATACACACATGTATATAGATATAAAATTAGAAAAAAATTATTAAAAAGAAATATATCTTCGGGGGGTCATTCCATTACCTACCTACTCACTATGACTCGACGAACCTCATGACTCAGGCCTGACTAAGAATCTTCGAAGAATCCTTCTTGCGATTCACAGCATTCACAATGTTCTCAAAACCAGCCAACCCTAATCTGATCATGCCTCCTCGGAGAAAAAACAAACCATTGCCAGTTGAGAAGGCCGTAGCGGAAGTAGACAGAGAATCACCGCATTCTGGTGGAAAGAAGAGGATCTTCCGATGTCAGTTCTGCGCCAAACACTTTCAACGGAATGAACACCTGCAACGACATGAGCGACTACGTATGGTTTGGACCCCTCCCCCGGTCAGGAGTAAGATGAATGACTGATGCCGTTGTAGATACCAAGGAAAAGCCATTTCGATGCATCGCCTGTTCCGATGCCTTTACTCGGAGGTATGGATTGCTCGTTTAATTAATTAATTAATTAATTCGAGCATCTCATCTAATCCACTATACCAGCGACCTGCTCACCCGTCATTTTCGGGTTTCCCACCCCAATGTCTTAGTTGGCCAGGATGATTCGGCTCTTGATATTCCCAGCTTGTCGCCTTCTGGCACGTTTATGATGTCGGGTGAGGAACCATCAGTCGATACATCGCAGGCTCTTCCACCCCCCATGCACAACTTTGGCGACTTTGCGCTCTTTGTCGACAGTATGAGCATGCCATGTTCAAACGACCCATCCTCGCTATTCTGGGATCAACCGCTGTTGCCAATGTCCCCATTTCCTCTCTTCGCCACGCTGGACCAGCCTCCCGCCAATGTCCCGACTAATAATAGTACATCATCACCTCATCTATTCGATGAATTCTCATCGACCTTTCCTTCGTTTGAACAAACTCCCTCTGCCAAGTCGAAACAGGAACCCTGGAAGATCACACAAGAAGACTGGGGCATTCTACTGGCTGAAATCCAATCGTTCATGCCTCTGATACCTCCGGGGTTTTCACTTCCATCACGCCACACCATAACTCGATACATCGCAACGTATTTCTCGGGGTTTCACCGTCATTTGCCCTTTCTTCACATCCCGACCTTCTCGTCTACAAAGGTCCCAGTTGAGTTGATCCTAGCCATGGCTACGATCGGGGCCCAGTCGAGCTTTGATAATGACACTGCAGTCATGCTCTTTCGAACATCTCAGGCCATAGTCTTGGAGCGTCTTCGCCGCCGTAAAGCCGAGCTCTGCGCAATCGCCTTCCCAGCCGGCGATGGTTCGTTGATCGAATCGCACACACCCAGTCGGCCATCCTCGGATCGAAATTACCCCGGCCAGTTTCAACCGTTGCCTTCTGTTCAGACCTTGCTCTTACTAATGGCGGTAGCAACATGGGGGAATTCCAAAGCCATCTACAACGAGGCCGTCAGCCTACAGAATACTCTCGTCAACCTTGTGCGCGAGGAAAGTTTTCTAGACACCCCGACCCAGACACCCCAAAACATCCCATGGCGTCAATGGGTCGACATAGAAGGGTTCAAAAGGACGATTGCGATAGTCTTCTGCTTCTTCATCTTCCATACCATCGTCTACGACACTCCGCCCGCAATCCTAAACTCAGAGCTCAACATTTACCTTCCCTCGCATGAGAAAGACTGGGCCGCTCGAACCGAGCAGGACTGGCAGGAAATCCGCCGCAAGGCCAAGCCCGAGTCCCAATTCCAACCATGCCTCTCGCTTCTCTTCTCGAAACAACCCGACGAACCCACCGAGAACTCCCCCAATTCCCACTCCTCACTGGGCGGATATACCCTAATCCTCGCCCTAATCCAACACATCTACTTCCTCCGACAAATGAGCAAATGCAAACCCCGCTCCGACCGCAATCTCCCACCCACCGACATAGCCGACGTCGAACAAGCCCTCCGCAACTGGCAGAGCGGATGGTACCTCGATCCCGAATCGTCGCTGAGCCCAGGAAGTCCCCAGGGTCCCATCTCGTTCAACTCCACCGCCCTGCTGCGAATGGCCTACATCCGACTGAACGTGGACGTAGGCCCGTGGCGGGCTTTGAACACGCACGACGCCCACGCAATCGCAACTTCAATCCACCACAGCCCCCCGCTGAGCTCATCGCATAAGATCACGCGCGCCGTGCTATACTCCGCGCACGCCTTGAGCATCCCCGTCAAAATCGGAGTCAATATTGTCGCGCGCAATCAAGCTTTCACGTGGTCTCTGCAACATTCTCTCTGTGCGCTGGAGTGCGCCTTCGTACTTACGAAGTGGCTGGTTGCGGTGCAGAATCGCGCTGTTGATGAGGATGAAACGAGATTGTTGGTTTATATAACGGATATGTTGGTAGAAGCGGACCCGGGGTTTCGTCCGGGGCAGGGGACCGTCCGGGGTTCTCCGGATCTGGGTATTAGGGTTATCAAGGTGTGGGCGAAGCTGCTGAGTGGAGAGGCTGTGTGGGATGTTGTGCGGCTGATAGGGAAGGTGTTGGAGGCTTATGGGGAGATTTTGGAGGGGGAGACGACGGTATGATGATAGATAAAGGTGGATGATATACTACAGCTACCATATAGTAGCTATAAGGTTTATAACCCGCGATTACAGTCATGGCCAGCAATAGAGACTTATTATTTGATTTTGATTCAACTTTCAGGGCAAAAAATTCCAAGAACCAATTAATGCATGCAAACATGTACAGCAATGGTGGATTGGAGGAAAAAGAAATGACCGAGACGGGGCTCGAACCCGCAACTTCCAGTGGATCTCCGCCAATCTCGTATGAGATTGACTTCCGAAAACTGGCGCGCTACCATTGCGCCACCCGGCCCTTGTTATTGTTTACATTTTAGATTACATGTATAACACGCACAAAAGCACATTAAATCAACTACATCTACATCGCAAAACGGTTGTGTGATATCCCACCCATGGGAATGAAATTTAGCGAAATATGACTAGTATAAATATTTCTCTTCTGTGTCCTCTGTCACCTGGGAAACACATATTTTGCCATTTGCATGTAGCATGGGTTGATGGCTGGAGAGTAAAAAGGATTGCAACACTTGTTGTAGATATATATATGTTCATGTGTAGTCCGGCGTCTGAGTAGGTGACATAAACTGAAAACTGATGGGAAACCAACGTACACTGAGTAATCCGACGCAAGTATACAAGACTCAGGAACCTAAAAAGCGACCGACACTGTAAGCCTAAGTCCATCTTTCTTCCCCTCTGAAGGTACTCCATGCGAAACTGGAAATTTGTTAGACTCGCCCAAATCAACTGCATCCACTGTCTTATCCACCCCAACAGAGTTGACTGAATGGTCCAGGCATCCATTTGTTGACAGTGCCAATGGCATGCATTGGATACTATAGAAGCTTCACTATTCTGGCCACACAGAACATGGGTACACTGGGAATCTACCGACTCTTACAACCTACAGTTTCATAACTGAGCCAGGTACCCGGTATTCCTGGGCCATAAAGTGAAGCCGAGACTGGCTAGATCTGCGATTACTATCAGGTTGCCACTCGACCCGGGATCCATGAAGGATATCATCCATTGAACGCCTGCATCGGCAAAGTATTCTGATAGCAAATTCATCCAGGCTGCTCTACCAGGGGCCATGGATCATATTCGCCCCATATTCCCGCCACCCTGCACCCAAACCAAAGCTCCATAGTCTAGACGCCTCTGGATGCAAGTTCAATACCAGACAACCCTCATTTCTATGACCCTCTGTATGTCAAATCCAACCGATCGCCCATAAGCGAAGACTAACACAGCATGAACACCCCCAGTCCAGACTACGATAGCCACGTCCCAAAACAACCAGCTTCTTATCGAGGGTAGACGATAGACCGACACCCAGGAATTCACTTTCAATCAGGGTATCAAGAGGCTGTGTCTGGTGTTGCGCCCATGTTGATGCAGACGCAGACGATAAGAAAACGTCTAGCATCACATCCATCCACGGCTAGGCGCAGCTATAGTTCCAACCCGACGGGCAACCAACTACCTGGTACCTGTACCTACATACATGAGCCCAACGAAATGAAATCCCAATCCAATTTCTCCCACAGCCAGTTATGCCCATATAGGCCACTTTCAACATAACCCCCATAATCCAGTAGGGTGGGGATCAGACTAGCCTAGGCGCCCACAACTTTCCTCCTCCCCAAGTGACAAACCGGTATATAACTCAACGTTCAACAGCCGGGTCCGTCTTCTCTTCTCCCCCCTGCCCCTTGAGAGATATGGCGCCATATAGAAAAGTCGCTAGTCCGTCGAATAAATGAAAACAGCGCCATGCGGCCCAATAATGAAATAGACACTTAACTAACATTTAGGCTAGTTTGGGGAAGAGAGAGAGAGGGGGGGCCTTATCTCCTGGACAATAATGCCAAGATTTAAGCCTACTAATCATCAGGGATATGGGTGATGATCAGTTTTGATGGTGGAAAGTTAATTAGGGACTGTGGTTACCTACCTGCGTAGTTAGCTAGGTAGTTAGTCATTTCTCGCGCTTATGAAAGTAGTTTTGTAATCCCTGTCGTTGTCTGTCACACTGTGGGTGCTGTGGGTTGGGATGGCGTCTTTGGCATTGAATCTGATGCTGGAATTATGGGGGTACATAATTTCATGGGGTCGATCATCTATTGTTTTTCGTCCAGTGAGGGAAGAGGATGGTTGTTACTCTGTGTTTTGTGCATCTGCGTGTGGGTAAGGTCAACGATCTAATTAACTAGGCCGTCTACCTAATAATAATCAAATGGATGGGTATTGACACGACCGGATCGACTATCCGTCGGGAACATCGTGGTGCAAGTAAGGTCCTTTAAGAAAAAAAGAAAGCCATGCCGAGGCCGGGTTGATGCATACAGACAAGGTGACCAGATCTCATTCATTCATTATCCTTTATTCATGATTTTACGTCTATTTACCTATTAACACAAGAAAACAAACCCTTACTAAGTGGAGTAAGATTCATCGGGGGGGAAGGTGAGAAGAAGAAAGGGAAGAAAAAGAGAAGAACAAGGAAAAGTCAAAAAAAATTAAAAATTAGAAAAAAAGCAAGATCAACATCACACTAGAACGGGCAAACTAGGACCGATGTAGATAGTGAACAACGTCTGAAAAATGGGGTCATCGATGAGGCGCACGACACAAGACTCTCTCTCTCTCTCTCCGGATAGTTAGTTAGACAACTCCACCGGGTTATCTAGGGGGGGGGGGGGGGGAAA